TTCTCCTTGCCCAGCTACGATGCCGCTCGATCGAATGAAGGTGGTTTTGGAGTAGGATCGGAAGCTCGATTGGGTCAAAATCCTGCCGATTTCGAAAAGTCCAAGCAAGACGAGGCCATGAGAAAGGCAGAGGAGGCAAGGTTGGCCCGCAAGGAGGCTTTGAAACAAGAACGAATCCAACGCAATGAAGATCAAATCCGAGCTGCCGAAGCCAAGAAGCAGCGAGATGCACAGAAACTGGCCGACTTTTTTGGAGGACAATAGAGACGCAAACGAATAACTTAAGCAGCTAGCTAGCTAGAAGAAACATGGTTGGAGACTAGTTGGTTGGTGAATTTTTGTTTGGAATTCAATCCATGCTAGTACTTTGAGATAGGAATGGATTTGACTCCTTCGCGCTTGTAACAGTGGACAGGAAAGTCCCAATTCTAGCTAGTAGTCCATTCATACTTAATTCAAGACAAATGCAGTCTCGGTTTGATAGCTTGGTGATTATGAAAGAGGAGAAGAAAGTGTGAGACGGGCACAGCATAGCTTGAAACCTTAGCTATTGTTTGTTCCTGGCTTGAATCATTTTTCTAAAGCAGGCTACATGACTTGTCCTCTGTGTGGGAGTGTGTGTCCAGCGAAAATCAGCACTGCCCAATTGACGGAGGGTGCAAAAGCATGAAAGAAGTGCTTTGTGCTTGGTACAAGTAACGAAGGCAGAGCTTAGCAGCTTCAGAGCCTCCAAGTTTCTTGATCGAAAGGAAAAGGTCGAATTATGGTAGTATCCCTAACACTACTGAGCAATTTGCTACCATTCCTTTTGGGTTGGGGGAGAGAAGAGTTTTGCTGTCGGCGGTTGTCCGCATCCTCAAACCTCATTTCGCTGTGAAGTGACAATGCCAAGCCCGCTATCAACGAAGGAACCAAGAAAACCAGAGCTTACCCTACCCGCCTGAAGAATTGATAGCCTCCAGAGAGTCTCTTATCCAGACTTGTGAGGCAACATGATGCAGTAGATAAAGCAAAGATCAGAGAGAGGAAGGCTACCGTGCGCAAACCTACAACAAACAGCGACAACTACAAACCCACCATATACAACAAGATCATCCCATCACAACCTCAAAAAAAGAGACAACCATCACCACACTCAGTAACTTTTTATTGCTAAAAATAAAATGGCAGGCCTGGGACGTCGCACGCACTACCGCAAGCATTTGACGGATTCGATCATTTATGATTTTCCGGAACCCGGCGAGAACGAACGGATTGCCAAGGTGGTGGCCACACGAGGCAGCAATCAGTTTGATATTGTTTTATCCTCCTCTGATGATCATCAACCATCCACGGAACAACGAGAGTCTCATTTGGCCATTCTACCCACCAAATTCAACAAACTGGTCTGGGTCAAGCGCAACGATTTTGTCATTGTCGAGACCGGTGTGGAGAATGATGAACCGAAAAATGATGCCGACACGGGCAGCATTCGCTACATTATTTCTCATATTCTCTACAAAGATCAAGTCAAACATCTTCAGACGAAGGGCTTGTGGCCGTCCAAGGATGCTGAGTTTGCGACGGATAAGATTGGACTAGAGGATACGGCTGGCCAGGATGGTCAAGACAACAACAACACAAACAACACTGATGAGGCCAATCCACCCAAAGACGATGGTATTGTCTATGATACGGGGTATGAAGATGACGATGAATATTTGGTGAATACCAATCGATTGGCTGCACTCAAAGTAGACGATTCTTCCGACAGCGAATCCGGTGACGAAGAGTAAATCGCTCGGTTGGTTATCTATCTTCTGGCGTTTTGCAAGGGAGCGATTGTGCCGTGGAATTCCGAATACTCGGTGCCTGGTGTTTTTCAACGGTGGATCAACCAGAGCTGACACGACAAAGCAACAACACAGCCGTAAAGTTTTAGGGAGAAAGATTGGTCATCAACACAACAATCCAATGGCAATCTGTGTTTTTAAGTAACGATTATATGGACTCCGAATCATCACTCAGCAACATTCGTGTCGTCATGACACTTTTTATCTCTGATCCAATAGAACCTTTCCTTTGGCGTCTGTTACATGAGAAAAGTATTCCACGGGCAGTGTTCCGTCGATCCCTGCCGTCAAAAGGACACCATTGGCACTTTTATAAAAGACAATACCCGGATGGTTGGCGCATTTGGCAGCATTCACGTAGATATAGATGCCACAGGTGGCACGCATTCCGGAAATGACGCCTTGGTTTCGGGGCAATCCGGGAGCAAAATGGATATTATTCCGCGTCATTTTGTTCAAACCTTTTGTGCAAATGGCCGTCTCCCACGCGAGTTTGTAAGTGCCATGCACAATAATGGGTATGTGTGCCAATTCCTCGGGTGGAACAGGTGTCAGCAGCAATTCGGGGTCAATAAACGGCAGTGAGTGACCTTGAGAGGCTCGAATGCAGAGTATAGTGTTGTCGTCGTGATTAATGGTCTCCGCTCGGAAGGTGGATGTGTCCACGTCGGGATAGTTGGAAATTGGCTTCCATTCCATGTGAAATCTCTGCTTGGCGCAGGATCTCACAATTTCCTGTATATCCTCGAATGTAAACTCTTGATGACGGAGCTTTTCGTGTCGGCAGTTCAAAATTTCCGACACTGGGACAAAGCCATCCGGAGTCATCGGCAACCCAATTTCGGGGCCTTGATGACGGAGTGCCCATGCTAGAGTTTTCGATGTCTTTTCGGCCCTGGTTGGAGGAGGGCGCTTCTTCTTTCTATTGTTAGGGTTTCCTTGGCCTTCTTTGCGGGGTTGTTGTTGCTGGTTGTTGTTGTTTCCCTTTTTCATGATGTTGGGATGTGTGCTCTTGCCTTGTGCTGTACTACTGTACTGTGATGTATCCTGGAGATGTGTGATGGTGTCAAGGAAAGATTTGATGTTTCGGTTTTGTGGCTGGTCGAAAGATCGGGCTTCGGTGAGTCGCAGACACGTTTGAAGTTTGGACGTGACAGTAACCCGTGGTTGGTGGATTGAAGGGTCTGTACCACTCTTGAGCAGCAAAGAGGAAGACAACGCTTGCTGGCCCCACCAACGACGACAGCCATAGTGCATCATTCTAGCTAGCTACTGGTAGCAGAGCAGAACAGAGCAGCCAGCTTCAATTTTTAAGGAATATTGTCAGTACAGATGCATATTAGCTAGCTAGTAGTCTGGTATGGTACCGGTAGAGTCCCTCTCACTCCCGGTCAAAGAACACATGCAGGAGACCAAAAGAACCAGGAACCACTGCCGGCCCTACTCCTGGACCAACTTCAGGTCCCTTGTTCCCTGGACCAACTTCAGAGCCTAACCCTGGAGTTCCACACCAGAATCGAATCTACCGGTACCCTGATCATCACAGACCCACTCCTGGTTCGAGTTCACTCCATCCAGGTCGCGCTAATAACAGAACAGGACCAGCACCATACATGTATGTGGGCTACATGTAGTCTAGTCGACTGTACTGGTACGACTGTACCGTGCGGGTCCTGGTACATATTATTATTAGTAGACGTCTAGCTAGCTAGCTAGTACACCCTGTAGTATGCTAAAGTATCGAAGGATGCGCTTAGAATGGAAGCATTATCCCCAACACTAAATCTAAGCTCTGACATGGACGACTTCACACTTGCATGACGTGGTCGCGTCTCCTCCCTTCATTCGCCGTTGCGCTGAAATGGCCGTTACAGACCCGGACGAACGTCAAAGCCACTTGGAGCGGGAGATAGAGGCGTCATCTTCCTCTGTGATGGCGCAAGTCAACGCGGACGTGGCAACTTGGCAGCTGATGTTCCGACTTTCCAGGTATGCATTTGGTACCACGACTACCTGACAGAATTCTTTCACGTACCCCTTCGCTTCCCATGATATGACGGGCTTCACATTTATTTTTAGTGGGAAACAATCGATAGCCGAAACGATATCGCATGACACCAAAGTAGAAAGGAAGTGTCATTGATTTGAGCCCCCAGTAGCCCTTCGCAAACAAGTCTGCTTCTTCCGAAACCATATCACTCCATCCATTATCTTGTATTGTGCCAGCCAAAAAGTCTTTGCTACTAGACAAATAAACGAACCCACAAAAAAGAAAAGAACTGCTTCCGCATCCGCCAAAAACCAAAGCACCAAACGAAAGCCAACAAACAATAAGAAACGAACAATCAGAAAAATGAAGAATTTGCGCATTGTCTCGTCCTCACTGCGTCCTCGACAGGCATATCGTCGTCCCTTTTCCTCCGTGGCAGCAGCGGTAGAAGACCCTCCTAATAAATCTCCCATTTATGTGGCGGCTACCCGACAACATGTGGGCAAGACGACGACTTCGTTGGCCATTATGAGTGGCCTGCAAAAACGATTCGATCGAGTGGGATTCATCAAGCCTGTCGGACAAGTCTGCTTAACGGTACAAGATGAATGGGGCAATGATATTGACGTGGATAAAGACGTGGTGGTGGTCCGAAACCATTTTGGATTGGATCACTGTCCCTACCAACACATGAGTCCAGTGAGAATCCCACCCGGTTATACCAGAGATTATGTCGATGGGCACATTACATCATCGTCTCAACACGAAGATATCCTGGAATCCTTTGAAGTGATTGACAGTGTCTCGGATGTGACGCTCTGCGAGGGAACTGGGCACTGTGCAGTGGGTAGCATTGTCGGTGCCTCCAATGCCCGTGTAGCTAGTTGGATTGGAGGAAAAATGGTAAGTCTGACTACTGTGATGTGCAGGCTGACTACTGTCTGTGGTTCATCCAATCTCATTGTGAATGCTTGCCCTTATTTATTGTATTATATAACAGATTCTGGTAGCCAACGGAGGACTCGGTTCTACATTTGATGAACTGGAACTCAACCGAGTTCTTTGTGACTACCACAATGTTGAAGTGGCGGGAGTTATTGTCAACAAAGTTCAGCACGACAAGTACGAACAAACACAATATTACATTGAAAAGGCTCTGGAGACGAATTGGGGCATCCCACTGCTCGGGTGTATCCCGGATCGACCCTTCTTGGGATGCCCTGCTTTGGTCGACCTAGAGAGATTATTCGAGGGATCCTTCCTCCTGGCCACCAAGGAATGCCAAAAGCTAAAGCACTACAGCGTTCGGGACATTAACTTGGTGGCAACGTCTCTGGCTGTCTTTTTGCGCAATCTCAGAAGCAACCAAGATCGCACCCTGTACCTCTGCCACAGTTCCCGTGTCGACATTATGTTGGGATTCCTCATGGAGTATCAACGAACCAAGGCACTTGGAAAGCCGTGGGAAGCAGCTCTCGTGGTTTGTGGAAGAGAAGAGTATGAACTGCCGGACAATGTCATGGACATGTACCTGAAATGTGAAGCTCCACCCATGTTGGTTTGTCGAGAAGGGACCAAAGCCACTATGGAACGCATCATGGCTTACACACCGAAACACAACAATGAAGACACGCACCGTTTGGAAATCGCTGTCAACCACTATGAACCATTCATTGACTTTGACCTCCTGTTGGAGCGAACAGGAAATGCTATTCCAGCGGCCAAGAGCGCCAGTGCTTAAAGTTCCGGGAGAATGGCGCACACTCACACGAACATTCAGGATTGGAAGGAATGGCAAGCATCCCGTCCACAACAGCGTTGAACGTTACAAATAGTGCGTGCTACGAGTGGCAATACGCAATTCATGAGAAGCTATGCATATTACATATCGCGTAGACGTCTAGACAGGAAACGTGCGTCTACTAGAAAAGAAAGAGAATAGACAGTCCATTTTATATGTACCCGACAGCTTCGGAAATGATCTTCATTCTTGTGAAGGCACAGGATAGCGAAACTAGCATAGATAGAAGGGTGGTACCGGTATACGTCGCCTTGCTAGCAGTAGGAAAGGTCGTGCTCTAAATGAAAATGTTTTGATCCACTACAAGATCCCTCACCGAAGGAACACACGAAGTTTGATTTCTGATCCCAACCGCCACCGAAGTGTCAATTAGCCAACATCAGCCTAGCTCATCATTCTATACAGGTACAATCTTCCTTCTTTCAATGCTCCTACCTCTTCTAAAAGTATTTACTCTGTTGATTGATCGTCTGCCCAATACGGTTCAGTGTTGTCATCATCTTCCCAGTGCATGTACGATGGATCGTACGAGTGCCCCAATTCTCCTCGTGTGTCGGCCCGGTCATGTTCAGTTCCCCCCTTGTCTGCCGATGCGCGAGGTCTGCTCAGAGTCAAGGTTTCTCGGTGCATCTGTTTTCGCCTCTTGGACACCTCCAACTGTGCCTCGTTGCTGTGGCGCTTTGGGTGGTTCCTTGTTATCGCTCGATCACTGCACTTGCGACGAGATTCACTGCCAATGTGGTTTTCTGTGTCTAGTAGCAGCATATTGCTGCCTTCATTTGGGTCCCTGTACTCGTGCTCGTTCTCGCTCTCGTACTCGTACTTCCTCGGCTTCATGTTGTGCTCGAACTGATTCTCAGCGCCGCAAGCCTTGTCGTCTCTGAAATGGTACCGGTACTGTGGTTTGTACTTCGTAGTGTTTTCCGTGGATCTCTCGAAATATCTGCTTTCCTTCTCTCTAACATCGTGTAACGTAGTATCATGGACGCCTGAATGTGCTACGGCGTCCTCTAAGTTTGCCTCGTAGAAAGTGCCGTGCTCTCCGTGCAGTTCAGTCGAAATGGCTGGGCTCTGTCCTCTGCTGGACTGGAAGTGACAATCTTGCTCCCTTTCATGAGATTCCATCTTCTTTTGGCAGTCATCATCACGGTGATCACCTACGTAGCACTTTTGATGGTAGTTGTCGTAGTTGTGGTGTTCTGGAATTTGATCTTCATGGCCCCAAGCAGCGTCCGTATCGAAAATGTTTTGCTGATGTTCGTGGTTGTTGTGTTCTGCGCTGATCTGATCGGTGCCTTCTTGATTGGAATGATGTACGTGATACCGAGTAGTGATTTGATCCGTCCTGGATCGACGCTTTCGCGATTGTTGCTGTAGTTCCAGTCCACGTCGGGGTTTCTCATGACAGTGTCTTTCATCCATCAATGGTTCGTAGAATTTGCCGCAGTTCTTCATTGACATGCTTTTAGAGAAGTGTCGGGTGAATAACCGATCTTCCTCCTGACTCTTCCAATCGGGTATGGAGGCACCTGCGGGCGCACTGGTAGCACGAGAGCTTTGTTGCAATCGGGGTTGCCTTCGATGCGTCTGGAAGAGTTCACGTTTCTTCTCGCATGATCTTTCACTCGGGGGTTGCAACTCGTCCCTCGGCGCCCCAGCAATCTCACGAATTCTATACTCATCGGAGCCTTCCTCGCATTGCAGCGACTCCCTGGTTGACCCACCAAATCCGGGATGTTGCTTTTCGTGTGAGTCTGAGGTGTACCCGTAGTGCGGTGGCTCATGTGACTCATCGTACTGGTACATGTAGGTAGGTTGTTGCCAAGGTTCTTCGACAATATTCTTGCAAGAGTCTGGGCTTCGAGAAGGTGCCGCGGCGTCTATTCCCATCCCATCATCAATGTCCTCGTGATCACCAATGTCCTCATGGGGATTGTAGTTTAAGCGAGGTGGATTGCAGTTTAAGTGAGGTGGATTGCGCTCACATTGGAGAGGTTGGCCGAATTCGTCAGCGTCAGCGTCAGCTTCGAACTCAAGTCGCCCTGCTTCTGCAAAATAGCTGGAATGTCGACTGGTAGATTCCCGTGGCTTGGTACGTCTTCCATGGATTAGGTTGTCAGCCCGACCGGCGTAGCGAGTGTCCAACGATGAATGATTTCTGGAGGACTTGGGCAAGCGCGACCGATCTCCGCGTGACTCTTCAGTTTTCTGAGGTAAGCCATTCCTATATGACGCTCGTTGGTTTCTTCCTCCAGGTCGACGTTGATCGAATCGACCCCTTCCGTCAATTCCGCACTCTTCACACTGCCAGTGTTGCTCCATCGAAAACTTGGCATCCGTTTCGAAATTGGCACTTTGTTTGCCATTATCAAACTGAGATGCATTTTGCCGTAGGCTGTCAGGGCGGGTTTCGCGCATTTGGTATGCATGGAGTTGTCTTGCTTCCTCCGCCTTGGCACCATCGTCGAAGCGCAGTCTGGGATCCTCGTAGCCCCGTTGATGTTGGCCATGCATGCTCCTCCTTTGGTTATCTTCGTTGTTGCTTCTCCGGCTTCGTTTCGGGAAGTAGGAGCGTTCAGTTTCGGTCAAGAGCTGACTGGAATTGATATCCATCTCTGTTTCGTCCCTGCGGTAGTGTTTCTGTTCAGCCTCGTTTCGCCTTTCTTGTTCATACAAGCGCTCGATGTATTGGTTGCCGTGGTGTGAGTTGTCGCGCTCCAACGTAGTCTCACAGGATCTCTCCCGCTTGGATTGAGTTGGTGCTGCACGCGTCTTGTCTGTCGCGTCTATCTCCAAGATCTGTTGCTGGCTGAGAGGGGCACATTTCTTCCGTTGGTCCGTGTCGAGACGCTGGTTGCAAGCACAGCAGCACTCCCGCTGTCTTGAGGTTGCTGTGTGCTCTCGCTTATTTGCATGGCCGGTTATCCGCTCCATTTGCGGCTGAACTACTGCTACCTTCTTGTTAGAATACGATGTTGGATCGGCTTTTGCGAGGCAATCTTTCGCCTGCTCTTCATAGCGATCGCGCTTACGACTTCGACGTTTCTTTCTCTTTCTCTTGGACTTGGAGTTGGAACGTTTGTCGCTGGATTCTTCAAAGTGAACCTGCTCTCGTGACGGCCTCTGCTTCGTGTAATGGCGCTCAGACTGAGACGGGGCCGCATTCCTTCGACGCGAGGGCATTTCTTTCGTCACTCGAAGATCCGATGGAACTGAAGTGGTGTTCGTTTGTTTTGATGCAATATCACCACTCTTGTCTTTTCCAACGTGATCGTCGACCTCTCGGTCAGTTTTCTGCATTGGCGGCACCCAAATCTCCTTTGGTATATTATCACGTGGATTGCTGTCTTTGTGGTGCACCTTGAGTTTGGATGTCATTGCCATTTGTACATTAAGCGATTCGTCGTCACAAATTAGCGTTGATGTTCTCTCTCGGTTACTTGGCTTTCGAGGCTGCGCAAAGTCCTTCAGGGCTGAAAACGATTTATCTCGTGCTTGCTCTTTTTGCAACCAACTGCCACTTTCAAGCGAGCTAAACTCAAAATCTTTCGAGTCCATCGCAGTCTTGGACTTCGCTGGGACCTCCAGGGACGTCAACAGAAGAGCCACATCAGTGCCGCCGGTCTTGTAATGAGCCGTGGGATGCCGGGGCTGGGCCTTCCCGTATGGCATTTTGCCTTTAGCATTGCTTGGTTCAGGGTGATTGAAAATCCTTTGATCCTTGTCGCGGTCAGGCTGGTTGGGGAGCTGTACCACTACCTCCTCGGATCGAAACATGTTATCTAAAAACTCCCGTCGTTTTTGCATTTCAGTGTCTCCCTGTGGTTTCGTGGCTTTGGGCGGATTCTTCTGGAAGGCGCTGACTATATCTGGATGCTGTCGGTTGACCATGTCTTGGTGCTCAATGGTAGAAAACTCGTAGCCATCAATTCCATCCCCGTCCTTTCCCGTAACTGTAGCTTGCATGATCCAGCATACTTCGTAGCAGTCAATCCCATTCTGCACCAACTTTCGAGTGATTTCTTTTGGAATGGGTCGTTCACGAGCGCATCGTCGAATGTGTGAAGAGTTGCCCTGAGCTCCCTGTGATGAATTGGCGTCTTTGTTTGAAGTGGTGGGATTCTGAAAGAGTTCCGTGCGAACCAGCAACTGACTCATGGACTGTTTCACGTAGTCTTGACTTGCTTGTAGGTTGTGTCCCCTAACAATCGTTTTCCAGTTGATAAATTCTAGGAGTCTTGGAGGATCCATTCGTAGTGTTTCTCTAGATACCATCGCTAACGATACTGGTAGCTGATTGTCATTCGGGCGCAAGTACGCATTAACCACAAGGGTAGGGTCAAACTTGGGATTTCTCAGGGCTATAGCCTTTCCTCGAAGAGACATGACAAACTTTTCCTCCGATGACACGTTGTAGCAAGGTTCACCTGGTTCTGTTCCACAGACTTCACAACCGTGCTTTTCGTGCGAGCTTTTTGTTCCAGGATGGAGGCAACAAGAACAGCATCTTTGTTTCTGCTTCTTCGCTCCCTTGTCCTCTTCTTCATCGTCCGCAATAGATCCTTCGTCTTGCTCCTGTTCTGTCTCCACAATCGGTTTGACGGACCTTGCCCACGACTTGAGGTCTTCGATGGCAGCGCTCTCACGTGACAACGGCCTGCTCGCTTTACATTGTCGAAGGAATCGAACCGCTTTCTTGTGACCTATTTTGTCAAGTCCTTGCCCAGCAAGATCACTTCCAGTTAAAAGTGCAAAAGCAATTAGGTCTTCTCGGCTTAACTTGATTCGGCCGTTGGTTTCGTCGCTTGCTGCTGCTGGTATCAGCCCATCACTAGTCTCATCCTTGTATTGCCCACTCGTTCGTTCAGCAACCGCAAATAGCTTGGAAGCATCGTAGCGCATCACGCATCCCTTTTGAAGATTTTCAATAGAGAACTTGGTGTAGACAACTTTTGCACCGAAAAGAAGGCAGTCACCGTCATTGGAGATAACGCCATCGACGATACCTTTTTGATTCAATAGGGCACACAAGGCCTCTCCTTCGGCTTTGGCGCGGACAACTGGCACTCCCATGAACTCCAACATGGTCTCACATTGCTTGCAGGCTTTCCAGAAGGAAGTTCCACTGCGTCGTCGACGGAACTTGTCTGGCTCGTCGTTGGAATTCTGAGCTCGAATGCGTCGCTTGCCTTCAATGACAACTACCAGCCTGATACCCATGCAGAGCAACTTCATCGTGCGGCTAAAGACAAGGTGAAGCGCTGGATTCTCATTATGATCATTGAGGCCAGTGCTAGTAAGTGATTCACAGATCCAGATACTCAAATCCACAGCGAGACTTGGGCGTTCTTCGGCGCGTTGATGTCTTCGTTGTCGCTCGTTGAACGTCCATGGATTCACTTTGGCCGAACTCCTTTGAGGATCTATCATGTCCTCTTCTCCTACCGACTGTCCGCATCCTGCATCATCAAGTGCTTGCCATAGCGACGCCACAGTCATTGTGCGCTTCTTTCCACTGTGGCCTCTCGGCCGCCAAGGTTCTTCGACAAAGTTGGTGTGGGCAACGGTGTTTTGTGAAGAGCTGGAAGACGTTACAAAAAATGAGACGGAAACAGCTTTTGAGTGAGGAGAAGCGTCTCTAAGTGGAGAGTGCTAATGCACGACTAAATGGGAAATCTTTTATTCGCGTAAGAACACTTGGCGTCGCTTTGTTCAAACGTTTCGTGACTCGTCACTCGGGAATCTCGACGAGTCCCGTTTTTGTCCAACTGAGAGCAAGATCTCCAACTTACCGGTAGCCCAAAGAACACGGCTGATGATGGCAGTGACAGTCTGGACAAAGCGCACAAAATTATCGAAGAGGACGAGGTGTGTTGAACGTTGCAATAGTGTTTATTACGGAGGTTTTTGAGCCTGTTGATTGCTAGACTCGACTCGACTCGGCTCGGCTCTGCCTCACATATCTCGATCGCCTCTCAACTATCGATACGGCTGTGTTCATAATTCTCCATCATTGTTGATTCCTCACATTTCCAGACGTCCACAAACCATGACAAGCCAAAGCGCCTTTGCTGCTTCTGCAGCCCCTTTTAACAGCATACACAGCATAACCAACAGCAACCAAAGTCTCGATGACAGCGGGAAACAGTTGTACTTTGGAACAGCGTCGGCATCAGCTGTGGAAAGGGTGGGTGAGGTTCCGCTAAATTCACGACTGTACTCTTCTTCTTTGGGTCCCAATGGCATTGAGACAAACATGATGTTCGCACAAGACGACAACGACGCCAACGACGCCATGATCCATGGCAGTAGCAAACGACCCGTTTTCATTGACTTGCTCGACAGTGATGACAGCGATGACGAAGAAGAGGACCGCAAGATGCCTGCCATGAAGAGACGCAGAACAAGCAGCATGAAGGACATGGATTCTTTGACAGCTGCTGCAATGGCGGCTAGATTGCAGGAAGAGGAAGAGCTACAGCATGCCGAGCGCAAGATGCAAGAACAAGAGGCCATGTACAAGTCCCCCGCAGGTCGTGCTTTTGTCTTTGTGGAGCGCATGATCCAAGAACATGGCCAGTTGCTGCAGGAGGATCCTCAATGTCAAGACCTAGAACTGGTTGGACAAGATGACATGGTCTTCTTGGCAGAAAAGTTCATGGAGTGTGAGCTGGAGTTTGCCAAGGCCGGCCTTCCAACTCACGTAATGCTAGCATACCACTACACACACCGCCAGCACTTGCACAGCATCCGCCGTGATGGTCTCCTAAGCCACCCTGAACGGCACGAGTCCAATATACACACCAAACATGGTGCTTATTTTGGCGAAGGTGTGTATGTAGGCAACAATCCCTATGGCTTTAGGTCCATGGGAGATACCTGTCTGTTGGTTGCCATCCGAAAGGGACGGGAGATCCGCGTAGGCCCAGGTGGCAGCAAAGATCCACATGTCAACACGGTGATCGGTAACAAAGCTCGCAATGACCACGTGGCCAGCGATGAAATCGTCTTGAGGAGGAGCTGGCAGGTGCTTCCAATCCTTCAGTTCCCGGGGAGAATCGTTCAATCTCATGGCAGCTTGTTTGATCCCAGCAATGCTCGCCTTTGGACGTGTCATCTCAAGATGCAGGGGATCTTGGATGAGTTCTTCAACAACAACGTGCCCACTCCCGTACAGAGGATTACGCCATGGTCTGACCCCTTGCCAAGCGGATCCCTGCTTTTGAACTCCCCTGCTGTCGCGGCCCCTCCGTCATTCGGCAACGGTGCCAGGAACCCACCGGTCCCGTTTGTTCCAAACCTTGGACCAGGGGCTGCAGCTTCTGATCCTTTTGCACCAACACCAATCAGCACTATCCGTGCCCGTGAAGCGGCGGCGGCCGTAGCTCGAGCTGCCCCCGCACACATTGGTAATGGAAGCACGACCGCCGCAGATCAAGAAAAGGAGCTGCGTCGTCAAAAGGAGCGCTTCTTGATGTTCACAAGAGTGCTTATAAAATACCTCGAGACCAAAGATCCAACCTTGCACGGCAAAGTCAAAAAAGTTATCAAAGAATGCGCCGAACGAATCAAGCGACAGGAACCAGGATACGAGTCCGTCACAGCAGCCATGAGAGAGAGAATTAAGGAGATCGTTGGAAACCCTTACTGGAACAGAGCTGAATCCTACTTGGCTCATTTCTTGGCCCAGAAGAAAAGGAGTGCCGACGCCGCAGCCGCCCCCAATAAAGCGACTTTGGGCGACCTCCAAGCGAAAGCGAGTCCTCTTGTAGGCGCCTTTACCACTCCTGCACCTGCCCCACCTTTTGCAGCTTCCGCAGCCCCCTCTTCTCCAACGGCCACGTTGCTACCGCCTCCTCCTCCTCCACCTGCTGCTGCTGTTGGTGGTTTGAGCGCACCAGCAGCACCCACAAGATTTGACAGCCCCCTTGCAGCGGCGATGAGTAACAGCCAGGCAATAGGAACAGCACTGGCGGTTAGCTTCGGCAATGCCAACGGACCCAATCACGGCAACATGTCTGGCCATCCTCCCTCCTCGAACGCAGCTTGCACGTCTTTAAGCGCCACCCCGTCGCCCCAGAAGAACAAATTCATCCTTGAGTATTTGGAACTCAACCACCCTCAGTTGCACAAAGATGCCGTGCTTGTCAAAACGGGCTGCGTCAAGCGGCACAAACGCAAAGAGTGGGGGTACGGGCCTCAGGAACTGGAACTGAGAATTCAGGAAGTGGTCAAACAGGTGGTGGGGGATGCGATTTGGCAATCGGCCGAGCTGCATGCTGACGTCAAGATAGCCTTACTTCCAACACAAAACGTTGCCTTTTCATCTTTGTGGGGAGCTCCTGCTGGTCAGATTGCCCCTCCCGCTGTTGGTGGGGGCACTTTGGCAACCGGCGCCCCCGCGGCTCCGCCAACTAACGTGGCGAAATCGTCCCCGTTTGACGCACCTGCACCTTACTCCTTGACGACTAACGGGGCGCGGCCAACTAACGTGGCAAAATCAAACCCACAGCCCCCTCCTCAGAATCAGCCTCCGCCCACCAACAAATCTAAATTGTCTCAACGTTTGAAGTCACTGCACTCACCAGCGAACCATGCCAGCAAGAAGGCTACCCCAGCACCGGCGCCTCCTCCGTCGCAGCCTCCTCAACAGGCGGCACCTTCTCAGTCGGCCCCTCCGCCGGCAAGGCCTCCTACTCATGCAACTAGCACCAGTGGAAGACCTCCTCATCATTCGCATCACCCAGGAGCTCCGCCTCCTACACAGCCATCACAAGCATCACAATCTTCTCATAACATGACGTCTCAGACCCAGATGCAGCGGCAGAGCAGCCAAAGCAATCGTGGTCCGCCGCCGGGGTCTTCTCGAAGTGCACACCCTCAGACCAATGCGGCCGCTCAAAATCCACCCACTCACGTAATTGCGACAGCTCGATCCGTCGCCTGCACACGTCGTGTCAGGACGTTGGCGAGGTCAGGGGACTGCTCCATCTGCTCGAACAATCTGCAGCGAAAGGGGAAGATACTGCAGCTAGTACGCTGTGGCTGCTTGTTCCATGAAGGCTGCATCACTGCTGCGTTGCAACGCAGCAATCATTGCCCCAAGTGCAAGACCTAGCTGCGTCAAGTCGAAGCTTCTGCAAGTCCTGTTGTCTCAACCGTGCGACCTGGTAGCTGCGACGGATCTGGGTACAGCGTAGTGTTCGAGTAGAATAGAAGAATTGCCGGTAGCTCTCCGTTCACAAAGTAACCACAGACAGCCGGTTGGCTCCGGTTGGCTCCATGTTGCCATAGTGCACGTGAATCACGGGACTTTAGGACGAAATAAAGAAGAAAAAGTAACCATGAGTTTCTGCTCCAGTGATTTCCCTCCAGTTCTCATGTTCCGCAAGACTCGGCTTGATTACAGGCTCTGACACAGGGTTGATTCGACCCAACTGCTTGTCATACAGGTGGAAAGACCCATTCTGATTGACCAATTCGTTCTAAAGCAGGTGCTCTGCTTTCGTCAAGTTTGCCTTGTTTCGAAAATCACGATCTTGTTTGCCTCAAGGGACTGAAGGATGCGCTTTCTTCATCCAATGGAGAAGTTTGCCTCATTGGACAGTAAGATGATTGATTGGCCAGGACTTGTTGTGTTTGGCAACCGTGATCCCTTGCTTCTCCCTGAAAGCAAAGAGCCGACGGAGTACTAGTAATAGGATATCCAACGAACGGATTTCAAGTTCAGTCGCGCCTCTACAAGCTACAGGTTCCGTACCGTACGGTACGGTATTGTAGGGAGCACGTTTGCATATACTAGTAGTTCTTTCTAAGGTTTTATTACCGGTACTGTACCGTGCCATCTACAGGTACCAAAGAATCCCACGTCGCGACATAACATTCTACAGTTCACTATCTTCATCAGTGATTTCACAATCAAGGTCGGTGCTGTCATCCGTGCTCGTGTCATCGTCCGCAGGGATAGGCTTGCAGATTGGCTCTTCTGATCCAAACGTCGAGCGTCCAAACTGTGTATTCCAAAGCTTGCCATAAATAGACCCATCCTGGTTGACAAGTTCATCATGCGTACCGCTTTCAGCTATCTTGCCTTGATCAAATGTCATGATCTTGTCTGCCTTACGCAAGGTTGACAAACGGTGTGCGATCACCAATGTTGTACGGCCCTTCAGGAGCTTGTTTAAGGCATCCTGGACCTGAGCCTGGTTTTCTTCATCCAATGAAGCAGTGGCCTCGTCCAAGAGGAGTATAGGGGGGTTAGCCAGGACTGCACGCGCAATCGCAATGCGTTGTTTCTCTCTGAAAAAGCACAGAACCATGGATGAGTTAGACAAATGCGTAGGTTGACACGACCCACAGACCAACCGGTAGCACTCAGGAGTTACTCACCCTCCAGAAATGTTCGAAACACACTCGATTTCAGTACGCAGACCTTGTGGGAAACGGTCTTTATCTGTAATAACGTCATAAATGTTTGCAATACGGCAAGCCTCGTAGATCTCTTCCACAGTAGCATTGGGCTTTCCCAGGGTGATATTCTCCCTCAAAGTCGTTGGAATCATGGTTGCTTCCTGTGAGACGGCAACAATCTGGTTACGTAGCCATTCGGGATTGTACTCTCGAATGTCAACCCCATCGAGCAGAATCTGACCGTCATCAACATCGTAGAAGCGTTCCAAAAGCTTCATTACAGTGCTCTTTCCACAACCGGCTTGGCCGGTCATTCCGCAGGTTTGGCCTGCCAAAGCTTCAAAGGACAGTCCTTTCAGCACAGCTACTTTTCGGTTCGGGTATTTGAAAGACACGTTGTTGAAAACTATGTGTCCCTTTGCTTTGTGGCTCGGAAAGATGCCACCGTTCATTTTGATTTTCTTGGGCAGTACACATAGGTCGTACACATTTGCGAGCGGCTGGGCTCGTTCAACGACTTGTTTGAAAAGGCTCCACGTCCTGTCAGTAGTTTCTGCAACTTCCTCGGACGATTTCATCATAGCTTGAGCCTGCGAAAGAGTTGCTTTTCCTCTGTTCACAAGCGCACCGGATGTTTTGATCTGGGCAGCATCAAGTGAGGTGGAAACGATCGCTCGCATTGGATCTTCCATGGCGTCGATGAGGAACTCGCGCTTTTCGTAATTGATGTTTGCCAAACTGCTTTCTGCATAGCTCTGACACTCCCGCTCACTTCGCCCGAAAGATTGAAAGGTAGAAACATACTTTGCATCAACGGCATAGAGCCAAGTATATTCGTCATAGGAAGGAAGCACCAAACCCCTCATCAGGATAGGCCTTAGTTTGTGCGTAACTTTTTGCAGAACCCAAGAGAGGATGGGCATTCCAAAGTTCAGGAAAAGGAGAAAATAGAAGGATCTTGACGACTTGGTCAGGACAAGAATAGAATGAGTAGCCACGGTCGAGGCGCTCTTGGCAATGTCTTGCGGGATTTCAAGAAAGTCTTTCACCTCGCGGTCGAGGCTAAAGAGTTCCCACTTCGGTTCTTCCTCTTCCTTGCCCATAACAGCCCACCAGCTCAAATCTTGTTCAATAAGTGCTTTAAAATACTTGACCTTGACTTCATGAGCCACCATACCTCCACCACGGATCTTCAGGGTCTTTGCGAGCAACAAGAGAAGAGCAGAAGTCAATTCGACAAATACCATAGCCTTGGAAGCAACCCAGAAGGTCTCGCCACCGAGCTGAATAGTGTCGAGTACCTCTGATCGATAATAGACACTCAGCGCCGAAACCATTGCAGCGACCATGGACACCAACATTTCCAATGCAACCCAAATGATGCCAGTTCGGACCATCCAGAGCATCTGCAGGGCCTTTGAAACACCTCTGAATTCAATAGTGCGATGAGCACGACGTCCCTTCTTCACAAGATCCCAAATTCTCTTAACGTCCGCCGCATCTTGAGCAGCTCCTCCTCGCAGGGCCAGCCTGTAGAAGCTATCGTAAGCGGAAAGTAATTTGTCGAGCTTCTTGCCATTGGCGTACTCAATCTCTTCACCCTCCTTTGTTTTCGCTATGGCAACACGAAGCTCTTTTTCAAAAAGAAGCCAGGCAAAATGAAATCCCTTCTCCAACGTGTTTCTCTCGATGCGAGGTAACTCGAGCAGATCAATCAGCGCACTTCGTAGTTTTCCGAATACCACCATCCCAAGTTCGTCCGAGTCCCAGTCATGATCCTCCAGTTCTTCCACCATCTCTTCGATCATGGCATGGCGGCGCTCATACTGAGTTTGGACATTCTTGACTTCCGTCTCGGATGGCGCTTCCAGCAGGAAAGATGCCAAATTGGAGCCGAGGAGTAGAAGAAGAACTCCTAGACCATATGGCATAAACTCGACAACGCAGTTTGCCTCTGGAGGCCAAGACAACGCGCAGATTCTGTCTATGGATAATTTTGATCGATCCAGGAAAAGGTAGCCACGTTGTGCTATCACAACCGCAGCCATCGGCACTCCCACCGTCAAAAAGGCGGTCGCTTGGTACGAAAACGTTGATAATACTTTCACCTTCATCTTTCTTTGAATCGTTTGTTTGTGTTGTGTTGTTTTTGCTGTTGTTGAATGCATGCAAATTTGTTTTTGTGAGCTTTTGGGTAGGCCGAAGCGAAAGATCTTTCTAAAAGGTGTGCTCCTTCCAGCCAAGGGAGTGAAGCGTGAAAGAGGGACCCAGGCTCGTCCGGCTCACTCCCAAACCCCAAAGCGTGATCCAAAAGACCCAGGGAATGCGAAACGTGCATTGGTCCCCGATTTTTAACAGATGCCAAATTGCCTTTTCGGCAACATGTCCGGTACCGGTGCAGCCGTGCCAGTACGGACGATTGCAATGGTTGTAGCTTCCAGTTCAATGCACGAACCTGATTCATCCTTCATCGTTCTGCAGCTGCAGCATCCCAACGATCCACGGCTTTTCAAGGTGGAACCTGATCCTTTTCTTGCAGCGTGCAAGTACCGTTCATTGACTTGACTTGGCCCCTGCAGACCAGTCCAGCCAAAGCACCAGCAGAACTTCTCGAGTAGAACGATTCGGTTCCTGCCAAACGCTCCATGGCTGTCACTCCGTCCACGCTATGAATCTTCCGCAATCCGTTGCCAAGGTATTTGTTGGGAATTGCTTCCCAACCTGTTGGGATTATTTCCAAAAAGATGCGCCGAGCCGCAACAAACGCCTTGCCTCAGCAAGGACTGGATAATTGTCGCGCACACACGATGTATGGCAAGAAGTAAGGCATCTTCCGTCAACTTTTTGCCATTGCAGTTGCTGTCGCTACACGAGCTGGAAATTGCCTCATCCGATTTGTCTTTTCTGAGTTGGATGGATGGCCATCCGTCCAGCGGCACAAGGGTCGTCGTTGCCAGAGGGTGGTTTTCTTCTTCGGATGCTTGTTGCCGATCGACAGCAGACCGCAATGACGCATCTCAATTGCTTTTGGGTGGATAGTTGAACCCCCAAGGAAATGTTTTGATGTATCTGCGAGGCAGCCACTGAATTGGATGAGCTGTGTTTGAGATCGGTTCCGACTACCGGTACCAGGTATCAACCACATTTTCGAAGAGCATTTTGGGGTTTGGATCACCATCACCGTATCGCCGTCTAATAGCAAGCAAGGACGCAGTTCATTGCTGCATGGAAGCTACAACAACCTGTACATGGGACCGCCAAAGTGAATGCTCTTGAGCGACACGGTGGCAGTTGTTGTGTTGGGGCGAGATCGATTTGGGCTGTACGATTGTGGATCATGGTTTATTCCTTGCAATAATGGGATGTCACAACAGATGTGAAAAAACATCTGCAAGGGACGCGTAGATGTTGTGTGCGCTGTTGCAAAGATCAGTCTTCCAAGGAATCGATCGAGCTTCCAACTGAAGCCTCTGGGATCAGGAGACGAGATAATAGAAGTACAAACAGAGTAGAAGAGAGGATAACAAAAAACAATACGTCGTCAAGTCCTCCGAAGGTCTTCGTCATTTTCCTTCCTGCATTGTGGTACTACTGGCTAACCGTCTTCCTCGGCTACGTGTATTCGGCTGTCTGCTTGCTTCCTGCTTCAGCTCCCAGCTTTTACATCGCAAAATAATTAGCCAGTTGAGCTGTCAAACAGTTTTCCGACCAAAGGAAAAACCAGCCAGCGACAATGAGCACCAGAGCCCAAGGCCCGACCACTCCAGGCTTGACAGCATTGATATTGATAGTTTTGGGTTTCTAAAACATGTAGTCTACTCTATTGTATTTCATGCCTCCGTTCCAACATTTTCCATCACAGTCTGGTATCCTCACAATTCAAAATGTAGTGTTACTATGCCGTGAGACCTGCCATCCAGGTCTGAACCGCCAGATTTTTATGAGCACAGAACTGTTTGAGCTCTTCTTGTTTCAAGGCCTTCACAGTCCTCACGCGTTGTCTCTGAACCTTTTGCACCTGGGCTACATTCTTCTGAATGTCTTCCTTCGTGTATCCAAGGTTCTTGGCCATCTTCTCTCGCTTGGATGCGGACATCACCAAGCTTTTCTTTCGACTAGTATTCTTCAGGTTCATGGCACCAGCAGCTGCATCAGCCCATCGCACTGGAGACAAAGATCGCACTGGAGACAAAGACCTGGGCCGCGCCACGGGTCTATCCAAGCCAACTGGAGGCTTCTCTTCATAATTCCAACCAATAGAAAGGGAAGGGCCCCCACCTTGGCAAGCCGGGTTATCTCCGAGGATGCGTTCAAAGACTCGAACTTCCCTCGTACCAAACGAAACAGAAAGGTTGCTCTTGGAAAGTTTTCTAGGAAGCGAAGGGCGGCGTTGGCATTGCATGTGCTTCTTGAGTGCTTCTCTGGGTTCCCGAGCCGACGAGGATCTCGCCGGAGCCGCACGCCTGGGTTCCTCAGTCTCCAAAGCGAAAAGGGTGGATAGATCCATGTTCCAAAGATCCTCCTGCCCCGCTGTGCTCTTATCATGTTCAGAGCCCAACAGGGTGGCGTTTACGCTTTCCAGCGTCAAAGGAGGAGATGCTCCAGAGTTCTTGCTTCCACCAATCATCATGTGTTGGTTTGTCCCTTTCAGTTTGTTTGGCTGCTTCTTTTATGAGCCTGAGTCCAAAGACCGGAAAATGAGAGCAGATAGAACGAAAGCTTCCAGCCAAAACGGTAACAAAAGCTTTCTGCCTGGAAATTTGCAGTACCGTTTTCTGTTGACGATGCTCGAGCTAGCTAGGCTAGCTAGTGAGTTGAGTATGGTAGCCACTACGGCAGCTTCAGGCTTCGACATTCAACGCAGGCGAAGGAATCGAGCGAGCGACATTCGGAATTTCCCTGTAGATTAATCTCCCACCAATCTGGTGGCCAAGTGGCCCCAATTACATTAGTCTACCGAGGAACAATGAGTACAATCGGGTTTTGATACTGTTGCTGGCCTACTAGCTAGCTAGTAACTAGAATATCCACGCATCCACTGACGTGCTGCGAGACTTCATCTGCCCTTGGATCCCATGATAAGGCGAGTCAGCAACTCAGTGTCCTGCCGCTGCTGCCGCATCTAGTGCATGTAGACTCTAGCTCATGTAGTAGCTTTCTTCACTTCAACAGAAGAAGGGGCAGAAGGGCTATGCGCCTGTGAGAAAGGTTGCCATTAAATTTATCCATTTAGCCGACTACCTACTGGTACCGTCTTACCGTTGTAGCTTGTACATCGTACCGGTACCGTACTAGTACGGCTGGGGGCTGGAAGACCCTTTGGGAAGACAGGGGGTAGAGAGCACTAGAGTGATCTGGGTATTAAGACCTGCAGTGCATTAAGGCCGGATTAATATTCTTGGGATTGTACAGTAATTTCTATAGTACCTACTACTAAGACCTGCCCTAGTACATGTAGTAGCTACAGTACTAGTAGCCAGTACTGTAGTCGCTACCGCTGCTTGACTGTACAGAGGTGCATCGAACGATACGGTAGAGCTCGACCTCGAGAAGGAGTGTCGATAGAGGTGCTTAGCATGTGCTTCATGGAGAGGCGAGTGCTGGTGTCATACCGTGGAGGTGCCCAGGGTGCTAGCTAGTAGACTCAGTACTGAGGCTATGTGTGACGTCACGTAGGATCCTACGTAGAATCAGTACTAGAGGCTACGTGTGACATCATTCGGTCTTAATATGTGGTGAAAAGAATTAGCCTGTCATTGGGTCGATTTCTTCAACCGTCCATAACTCCCCCAATAAGTACACTATGAAGATGAGAATTTTTTGGCTTACTCAGCAACATGTGTTCTATCGATTCCCCTCTTTACATGTACTATATTCGATATACAGCCCTGAAGAGAATATTCCGCGAAACGGTCGGTCGTAAAGCCCAGATCACTCTACATACAGCCTGTGCATATTATGAACAGGATTTTTAGAGAGCCAGCCTGCAGTCAAATTTTGGCCTGGCAGGCGACGCGATTCCTGTGCAAATGAACAGGCGACGCGATTCCTGTGCAATTGAACAGGCGACGCGATTCCTGTGCAATTGAACAGGCGACTGTGCAATTGCACAGGCAATCCGACGTGCTTCCTGTGCAATTGCACAGGAAATCTGACGTGCATGCTGGTTGGAGTCTTCTTCATTTTCAGCAACAACAACAGTAACAGCAACAGCAACAGCAACAGCAGCAAGGAAGGACAAGCATAAGCATAAGAACAAGAACAACTGATCCTTCCACTACTGCTACCACTACTTCTACCACTATCATATCTGTCTCTTGCAGTCATTTGTGGCTTGTGGCTTTTGGGTTTGTCACTGAGAGATTTGGACTTCATTTCTCCTGATTTCTTTTTCATTATCTGAGAAGAGGAAAACACAGGAAGTTGCAACCATCTATTCTTTCACTTGAGCATCTAAGGCAGTCACTTCTACAGTCTGAAACAGAATACCTCCATCTTGTCAAGAGAGGAGATTTACTCTCATTTCCTGTACTACTGAACAGGCACCTGTCGCCTGTGCAAACGAACAGGCACCCGTCGCCTGTGCAAACGAACAGGAAGTTTCCTGTGCAAACGAACAGGCACCCGTCGCCTGTGCAAACGAACAGGATTTTTGCCGAGTTTTCATTCAACAATGACTACACCGAGTCAATTTAATGTGAAGTATCTCCCAACAAAGCAGGATATTCATTCAGACTACGAGAATTTGGATGGAAGCAGTAGACTCTTGCCAGAAATTCTGGCCACTGCTATATTCGATGGAAACCGTGAGATTCTTGGCGAGCCTACAAGTTATGAAGATTCAGAGAACAAAACCAGCTTGAAAAAGAATATCAACACTGCTTGCAAACCCGAATGGAAGCGTCTTGAAGATGAAATGTTCCGTGTGTGCAGAGGGTTGGGGATGAATCCTATCCACTGCAAGAGCCACAGACCAGTGTCAGAACTGAAGAAATCTTTGGATGCTACCAATCCTCTGCATTCTGCCTTTCAAAAGTTCACATGCACTCAACGCAATTTTGTATCGGGTGAGTCAACATATGGATTCTGTAACTCCTGTTACAAGTTGGATAAGGACATCCCTCTGGGAGAAATTTGTATGCAGCCCATCATCCAATACAAATTGATGCATGATCCACCCTCTAGTGATGATACCATATGTCCAAAAATCGAGGTTCTTGCAATCTACTTTCATAGATGCCCCACTGAAGCTGCGCAGGATCGCCCATACGCCTCCGTGCTACCAAAGAATGGAGGTTCTGGTATTTTTTCCACTTCATGCAATCGAACTGCCATTGTTGGAACAACCTACGACAAGATTCTTCATACTACTTTGGAAATCAACTCGGATGACGACACACCAGAGTTTTGGACGTCCGTCAACCATGGCTCCGACTCCTATGGTGTTGATGACAGGGTTATGACCCGATTAGCTTCATCTGACACTGAGCATGGATTTGACAATACCGCACAATCGAAACAAGACCATGTCGATCATTTGGCGGCACACCAGAACATGATTTACAAATCCATTTTAGTTCTGTTGAATGCAACTGGAAATGCTTTTGAGTTTTCCCTAAAGGGTTTTGCACATTCGCGGTATTATTGGCCTCCCACGTCCGCGTTGGCAAATGAAGGCAGCAATATCTTTTGATTTCCCGAAACCCCTGAGTCGTACAACAAAGCCAGAAGCACGACAAGCGTTGACAAAATACGGTGCAAGCGTTTTAGCGCGAAACTCAGCAGTATTGGTAGAGAATTCCTTTGGGAGCCAGTGCACAATAGCAGTGTTGGGCTCCGATCAGTTGCGAGTATTGTGACCGAGTGTTGGAATAAGATTGATTTCCTTTCTGTCTCCATCGTCTTTGAGAGATCCAGCTACTTGAATGATTACGGGTGGAGACGTCCATACCTCGGCCTGCGAGATAGCAGAGGAGAGTTGATCATCAGCTTGACTGAACGCAGAGGACATGCTTGACTGTAATGCTGAATGTAATGTCAGATCTATACTGTTGAGTAATGAGAAAGCCTACCCAGAAAAAAAAACGTCACAATTCCTGTGCATTTGAACAGGACATCGAGCTCCTGTGCATTTGAACAGGACGTCACCATCCTGTTCGATTGCACAGGCCGTCTAATTTCCTGTGCAATTGAACAGGCGTCGCTATCCTGTTCGATTGCACAGGAAATTGGACGTTTTTGAATTCAGGCCAAAAAAATGGCTGGCCTTGCTCTCAATCTGTGGGCATCCTCCCTGTTCATATGCACAGGCTGTATGTAGTGCCCCCTGTCCTGGCAACCCAGTGATGAACAGCCAACGGCGCCGAACTTCGAACTTCAGTCACAGGAGCAGTGAGGAGTCACAGTACATCGTAACGACTCGGGCGCGCCCCACAAAACCGATGACGGCAAACGCAGGAAGCCAACTTCAGAAAACGCACCGGTGGCCACTGCAGGCTTCAGCACACTGGCGAAGGAATCGAATCAATCCGATTTCCCTGTGGATCAATCTCCCACCAATCTGGCTGGTAGACAATTAGCAATTGGCCCCTATTATTTGTAATTGGTGCAGTGTCTTGGTACCGTGCGTGTAGCATGGTAGCACTGCGGAGCTGCGACTTCGTCGGCCCCTGGATGGCATGATTCGGCGAGTCATTGTCCTGCCGCTGCACTTTTAAAACCCCTTCTTTTGAGCAAGAAGGGCAGAAGGGCTGACTGTTTGAGGTTGCCAGCTAGCTAGCTAAATCGCTCTAGCTGGAGCCAACTACCGGTACCGGAGCGGCTGGAAGCTGGAAGACCGTCAGTATGGAGGCGAAGAAATGAGTAAGGCTGTACGCAGTAGCGGCAGAGGAACCAAACTTGTATGTCCATGTTTGATGAACTTTTTGTGGGTCTGTTACTAGAAGTCCTCGGTTGAGCTAGACTTTTGAGTTTGGAGTAATCCCCCCTCGATGTCTTCACTACATGGCTGCTTCCTCGCCGCTCGCTCGCTCCGTACATTTGTAGTTTTCTCATCGATTCAACAGTAGACGCGGTAAAAGGCAAAACATATCCACTCCACAGTCTTATTATCCAGCGTTGGGATTCAGAGTGACATTGCATAGGCAACAGCAATATCTAGCTATGTAGATATAGAAGCACTACCGGTAGCAACAGTACGTAGTTAATTCAGTCACTTTTTGCGAAAATCGTATGATTAGTCTACGTAGTGAACTTGACTCCCAGAATTATGAAATTACTAAGCAATAGAATTACTTGAACCCCTCTCGCGGCCGATCAGAAATGATCGTCCTACATCAGCCTTGTTAAAGCATCAATTGCAGTCTTCTCACGCTGCTTTTGCACTTTTCTAATGAGTTTGATGTTCTGCTCAATCTCGTGGGAAGAGTAGCCAAGCTTTCGAGCCATTTTCTCCCTTTTTTCTGGAGACATGACAATGTCCTTGGGAGTCCGACGAAGTGTGCTCCATTGGAAGGCTCGTTTGGTCTCAAATTTATCCAGGTCAACAGATTTCTTCTCGATATAGCCCCATCCAAGACCAAGAGATGGGCCTCCAATTTGAGTTGGAAGGTTGAGGGACAGAATTCGCTCGTACACTCGGATCTCGCATTTTCCAAATGATACATTGCGGGTTGGAAGACTCCGCTGGCTCCGAAAGCTCGATTGCCTGGGTGGGTTTGGAGAAGTGAATGAAGAAGATTTTTCCAGGCAAAACCTTGGGGTCTCTTCAAGGCCCAGCATATCATCCAGATCCATGGAAGAGAAGTCCTGGTCCAGCACAGTTTCAGCTGAAGAAGCAACTTGATTCATTGTCATGTTAGTCGAAAGATTGTCCTGAAGGTACATTTTGGATGTGGTGGTTTCTGTGTGCTTGCAAATCTTGAAACTTGAAAATTGTGAGCTGATTGCGGCTTTGGTTGGTGCTTCGCCCTCACCCCTCACAAACCAAGGGATCTTCGAGGATCAGCTGTAACTGTACGTGTAGGATCAAAAGCACCACCTCAGCTAAACCCAGAAGAAACTGGCAACGCAGTCTCTGATGGCCTTCGTACGTATGATATTGCTGTTGCACAGCGAACTGGTGATCCACTGGCGAAAGAGGAACGAACCCTTTATTTGAGCTTCAGATTATTTTAAAAAGAACTTGAGAACTATTCAGCACTGTGTAGTTCTGGATCATGCTTGGTTTCTCTACCAGCACCGAACAGCTGTACTGGTACTAATACGCTCCAGCTAACGCTCCTCAATGCTCAATGATAAGGACTTGGTCTTAGTTTATGATAGCAAGAACATCTAAGAACAGAAAGGCTCCTTCCTGGTTCCTGGCTGTTCTGGTTACAGTAATGCAAGATATAGAGAGAAAAGACTTCTGAAGACTTGGATCACAGAAGGTCTTTTCGGAACAGAATTACTAGTATGTCAGCATTGTCAGGTGTCTATGTCAAAGAGTGCTTACGCAAGATTGCTTTGCGTCAGTCACAATGACGACGCACTAAGACCTATGATCCCACAAACGAGTCTGGCGACGCACTAAGACCTATGATCCCACCAACGAACCCGCAAGATAAATGCTGAAACCGGAATGAATTAATTGACGAGCCACCGACGGTACCACGGTACCTAGAGTTGTGCCCCGTACCAGTATGCCTGTGAAGAGCTCCTGGAAGGCAGCCGATTTTAGCGATGAGAGACCCTGAAACGCACGTGATGTTACTCGTATCACTCGTATCACTCGTATCACTCGTATCACTCGTATCACTTGTATCACTCGTATAACATGTATAACATGTATAACATGTATAACACGTATAACACGTATAACACGTATAACACGCACGCCAGCCAGCCACCGTGACCGTTCGAGTTTCGCAAAATGACTTGACTTGACTTCAACACCAACACCAACTCCAATCTCCACCACAAAGAACCACCATCCACCATGACAACAACCTCTCTTCTCTTGTTTGTTTGAAGGATACAAAGGTTTCTCTTGTT